CTTCAATTTTCACTGTTTATCCTTTTTACTATTTGAACTTTTTATCATTTTTATGTATTACTATTCAAATGTTTTAACCTTAATTGTTTTAAAATAAAAGAGCAGTCTCTAAAAAAAAAAAAAAGACATGCTGAAGGAAATGGTTATAGAAGCCAGAGAATGGGAGAAAATATTCACGATACGTACATCTGACAAAAGCCTTGTGCCCAGAATATTAAAAACTTCTACAAATCAACAATGAAAACAGAACTTTAAAAAAAAGGCACAGGCTTGCTAGACACGTCACAAAAGAAGGTACGTGGATGGCCAAGGTACGCGTGAAAAGGTGCCGAACGCCACTAATCGTCAGGGAAGTGCGCACTGGAAGCGCCGCGATGAGACACCATCATTTCATCCCCCAAGAAGAGCTAAAATTAAAGAGACCGTCAACAGGACTTGCTGGCGGGGATTTGGAACAACTAGAGCTTTCGTCGGTTTCTGCCGAAGTACGACAGTGCACACCCTGGACAACCGGCTGTCCTTTACGATGTTCAGCACGTACATAACCAAGCTATTTGACGTACCCGAGAGAAACGAAAACACGGGTCACCAAAACCTTGCACGAGAACGTTTACAGCAGTTTTATCTGTAACAGCTAAAAACGGAAAACAAGCCAAAAGTCCACCACTAGGAGAAGAGATACACAAGGTGGTACTCGGAGTGTAATACACCCTCCCTAAGCGGAATACACTCGGCGGGAGAAAGGAAAAATCTGCAGAGACAGGCATGACATGGGCAAGTCTCAGAAACATTATGTTGAGCAAAGAGAGCAGATACAAAAATTCTCAGTGTGTGAAGTTCAAGGACAGGTAACGCTAATCTCTGATGACGAACATGGAACGGCAGTCACTTATACAGGGACGAGAATTAAACATACAAGAGGACATGAGAGAACTTTCTTGAGTGGTGGAAATGTTCTCTCTATCGATTCGGGTATTTGTTGCATCAGTACATACATTTGTCAAAAATGTACCTAATGTTACACTTGAGATCTCTGCATTTCACTCCATGTAAACTTCAGAATTTTTTTTTTAAAAAGGATGAGTGATTTCTATTCTCATTGTCGTGATGAATAAATAAGGCAGGTTACAGTATTAAGCAAAGCTTGGTTTTGTTTTTGTCTTTTAAAAAAATCATCTCATATACATGTAAAATTGTTGAGAAAGATCACACCAAACATTAATAACAATTCCTTTTGGGTGCTGAGATTTCAAGTGATCTTTTTGTTTCATTTTTCAGATCTATGTGGTCTCGTTGTTATACAATGGTCATTTATTATGTGTGTAATTAGTGCAGTAAAGTGAAATGAACACATGAGGCCGTTATTCTTAAAAAGAACAAATGTTGATACTAAAAATGATACTAAAAATTTGGGGCGTGTCCTCCAAGAACAGCAGGAGAAAGGGCCCGAGCTTTCCTCCTCCCACGCCTGGCCCTGCTCTTCCCCACAGGGAGGAAACCACTAACAAGGTCGCAGAGAGGAGGGAAATGAAGTTCATTGTCCTAACCTTCCCTTGCCTTGTTCAAATTCATGTTACCTCCTGCCCTTGTTCTACCTAAAACAGCACATTTCTTTGACCTGACAACCTCTTTTGCAAACCTATGTGAACATTTTGAGTCCCTGACACTGATAAGATGCGGTTTGATCAAAATCCCCTAAGAAGATTTCACGTCTTACCTGCGCGTTGAAGAAAGGTGTTCCAGTTAAAGGCGGCATTTGGTGCTGTTGTAATTCCTGGGTCAAAGGAACCAGAAAAAGAGAAAGGTGACTTTGATAAGCCTGCTGAGATACAACCAGTTATTTTGTGTTTGAGTTTAAGCAATGGCGGGACTTGTTTCTTACAAAGCTACTCTGAGTTCTGAGGATTTCAGTAAAGTTCCAGTAATTCCCCAGCACAAAAGGTTTAAAGTGAGCCCGCAGGTTCTGAATGAGAAAAGACCCACCACTTTCAGCCCCCTGATCCACTACTGGACCAAACTGCCTCCGGATGATACAAACCTTGAGTTCCTCTAAAAAACACATGTAAGTAACAGGTTTCTAGAACATTACCAACCAAAACCTAATGGCCCTGATCTCAGCCCTCACCGAATCATGCATGATTGTCTGTGGTCTGTCTGTGTCATTTCTTCAGACAGATGGGTTAAGTTTAACTTGTTCTGAACAAACAAACGATTTCAGATTTGGAAAGTTCAGAGGCAACATTTAACAGAAAAATCAGGCAGTTTCGTAAAATGAAAATCAAGCCATCCAACCACCTCTGACACCCACCTGGATGTCATTCACACTGTAACAAACAATAGCTACTTAACACATGTCCTCTCTGAGCCCACCCTGGGCTCAGACTGTCCACACACCCCTGGGAATCTTTAAAGACCCGCTGAGCAGGTTGGTTCCCCCAGTTTATCCTGCTGGAAACTGAGGTTCAAAGAGGTTAAACAGCGTTCAAACTGGCAGTAGGCTGCATTCAAACCTGCACACTGCTTCAAAGCCTGGGTTTTTCCTGCTGTACCAGCTAAAAATGTCTTTGAAACCACCAGAGCAATGACACTATGCCACTAAGATGGTGTGCCCCAGCTAAGGCGGGCCCCTGGGCCTGTGCATTCTTGGTGTTTGGTGCGGTGGAAAAGTCCCCCTGAGACTTGGCCTTGGTCTCTGAGCCTACCCATCCTGAGCTTGGAACCAGTTCTATTAACATGTTCTTCCTTGGACCTGCTCTCCATGACTTCTACCGTGTAGCACGGTGGCTCACAAAGTGTGTTTCGACCTCAGAGTGTTTTACGATGGGCGTCAGATGCCGCCGCAGGGGCAGGACTGGGGGAGGGGAGGGGGTCGGTGCGGGGAGAAGCAGTCCAGGTCACCCCAGCTCGAGTCAACTCAAACAGAGAAGCTCCGCATTTGGCTTTGTGTCTACACCACCACCGACGGAGTACCCCGCACTTTCTACTGGTAGAAAATGTTACGTG